ATGAAGCTGCTCTTTTCCGATCCATTCAAAAGAATGCCAACACGCTGTGCTAGAAAATGCTGATAGAAGAGTGAGAGCTGCACTAAGGTTGGAAAGCCACATCCCAAAACAAAAGCTGTAGTAAAACAAGTTTAGTAAAGGTAACTACATCCTATTAGCTTTCTGGGCAGTGCAGCTACATCAGCAAAATAAACTTTTTCATGTCTCCACTAGGTGACTTTATCTCAGGTGCCTGGCATGCACATATCTGCCTGTGGTACAGTTATAACACAGTTGGCTTTGTTTAAAACTTCAATATATTGAAGAAATGGGTTAAAAAAAAAAATCTCAGCTTTTGGTAAGAACCCTAAGCTAAAAATTTCATAACTTTCTCAAGTTGCAGAGAAAAGACTGAAAACAGGACCGAAGGCCTCAGAAACCAGATGGCAAGACCCATCAAATTCATAAGCTTAGTCTTGGGATGTGGAAGGGCGACTCCAACGTTTTTTTCTTTTTTTCTTTTTTTTTTTTTAAGGTTGGCAGTACTGAAGATAACTGATACTGGTAATTCTTTTTAATATGCCTACTTTTCTTTGTAAGGCAATGCAGCAATAATTTTATTTTATGAATACTTAAGAAAAAAAGTTTTCTGGTACAACTGTAGAAATTGAGAGTATATACAATATAAATAAGATGAAGTTACAAAATTCAATCATTTTGTGGGTTTTTTGTTGTATAAAGCACTGTAATAATCTCACTGTTTCTACTAAGCCATATTTAAAAACATGTACTTTAATTAAAAACAAATATGTATGAAAGGTAGCTCACTTATCACATCTGTTCACTGAGAATTCTAGGCCAATCTCATGATTATGTGACTAACGTATTGTTTTGCTCCCGTTTCCCTGCAGAATCAACATAGCTCAAAGAAAAGGAATTGAAACCTATTCCTTCCTGTGAATCATCATACAAATTGTTTGCAGGACTCCAGTCAATTGCAGATGTAAACCTACACAAAAGAATAGAGGTTTTTGGGGGTGTGGGTTTTTTTCTTTCTTTCTTTACTGGTAGTAATGTGGAAGAGAACTGTTCAGTTTAGAACAGAAAGCAGAGGGAGCTGAGCAAGCTGATCAGACCCCAAGCCTATATGTACACTATCTGAATGATTTTGATATGCAGCTTTTAAAATAAAGTAATTTTTCACAGTAAATAGTATTACTTTCCCTTTAATAATTAAAGGGCTCAATTCAATTAAGCATTTAAAAAATCAATCTTTTGTTTTCTTCATAATTTTAAGCTGTTTCATTGCAGACTGTGCAATGGTTTGCCTTGTTTGGAGATGTTAATTTAATCAAAGTAAAAGAACACAAATTCTATCCTCTAGAATACATTCACCTATTTATTTATTCTCCAAATTAAATGTTAAATTACCAGAGCAGGTTACAGTTATAATAGCCTTTACCTTAATGCGTTTTGGTGAAGTTAGTTTGCTTCTGGATTTTTCTCCCATTTCAGGACCAAAGAAGTGACCTCCAGCTTCCAGAGAGGAGAGAATAATTCCATATAGAACATGTTAAGGGTTAGAATGAGAAGACGAAAACTCTATAGACTGTACAGTTCAAGAGATACAAGAGTAACAGCGGGTACAGGGTCTCTGCCTTCTTTCATGGCAGGGCTTTCAATTCTTACCACTTCAGAGCTGTAGCAGGCTGTTTTACCTGTTGGTAAGGAAGCCCTTACACCAGCGTGGCTTTTCTACTCATCTTCATAATTATATGCTGGGCCAAATCTCTTGGCCCTAGGATACCTTAAGTGTCTTTCGTAGTTATGGGTTTTGGCTGTAGTAGTTCCAAACTGCAGTTTATGTATAACAATATGACACCGTGGCACAGAAGATGAACGTTCCTGAGCCTGTCAAAGAAGGAATCTGTCCATAGTTGAGTTTCACAAGACTTCACACAAACTCTTAGCTCTTGACCTCTAAGTCATGGGGAAGGCTTTGCTCATCTTCTATACCAAGAACAGGAAACCTAATTTAATGTCAACTGAGAGATTTACAGAGCTGTTAACATCAGCAAGTACATAAAGTATAATACACTAAGTAAACTATAACATAATTATGCCAACAGTAGCAGCAAAACTTCAAGAGTGTGACTGACCCCTAAAAGTAAGAAATTATTCACTTTTATGTTTGTGAGCCAAGGAGCTTATAGCAGTCTAGGAGCTGGTTTAGTCTGCTAGACCTGCCTTTAGGATTCATATTTAATAGTTTAATATGCTTCCTTCCTTGTTTTAAGATCTCTTTGGTATTTCAAGAATGCTACATTTGCATGTATGCAACTAATATTACTGTACTAAGAACAAATGCCCAGTACTATTTCCTGCTCAATTTTCTCTCCCAACTAAATATAATTTGGCTCAGAAGGAAATAGTGGGTAGAGAAGAATAGGGCCTACACATTGAGAGCTGTGTCAGTTTCTGATTATCAGAACCACTGTATCTCTTTCACTGAGATTCACACATCTCCCAGTGGAAACAAGAAAAAATAACCACTTCAACTTGGTGTTCATTCTGCCTAGCCTTGTATTATTTCAGTTCTTGGTTCAGAAATCTATGGTATTGTACTTCAACAGTGGAACGGGTTCAGATGGAGAGTATGAAAATGCATAAAGAAGCCCTAACTTTTGAGATGCTGGGAGAAACATTAAAAACACGGGGCAGAGAAGTGTACCAAGCTTAAAGAGAGAATCAAATGGAAACCAAAAATTACACAGGAAGACCTGCTGACTGGGGGGAAGTGTATTAGAGAGACTAACCTTACATTTATTCCCAGACTTCTAAGTGTATGAAAAAAACACCACAAAGGAAGAGAACTGAGAATTACAAAGGAAAAAGGGGAGTAAGAAGAGAGATAAGATACAAGAAGGCAGGAAGAAACTGAGGTAGTATCTAGTACAGGAGGAACAAAGAACACCCACAAGTGACAGCAAAATCCTACAAAAACTCATTTAGGATTTTTTCAATATATAAATTAGTTTATTTTCATTTAGATATAAAAGTTATAAATACAATTAATGTAAAACAGTAACCTATAAGAAAGCACTGAATCAGTTCATCTGTCTGCATAATTTGACTGAGACCCAGAAGCCCTGACCCTGCTAGGATCATTTGATGTCAACAAACAGAGCCACTGCTGACAAGCCTAACTGAAAGGGTGAGTAAAGGGATGCCACTGTGGCCTTCTGAGCACAGAGAAAATCAGCTTGAATTGGAAATTAGCACTGTACCTTCAGTCACCCCAAAATAACATAAGGCAGTTTCTTTCACACAGTCCTAGTCAGAAAAATAATCAAACAGGTAACAAACTGACTTAATTTTTCTGGATGGGTAGAGGGAATGCAGAGCAATCAGTCAAGAACTCAGAAGAGCACAACTGGAAAACACGTCCAGGTCTTGTTCCCAGCCTGATGACCAGGAAATACATGAAGGCACAAAAGAGATCCATGATTCAAGTTCTCTTTGGGACTTCTCTGCTGATGAGATCATCTCAAGACAACGGCTCACCAGCTAATGCGGAATGAGCATCTGAGAGATATGTGAGCTGGAGTTCTCAGCATCAATTAATAATTTACAGTTAAAAATAGTGTTTACACATGATTACCACCATTTTTTTTCCTGGTAGTATCAGAAAATGTCTTCACAAAGCTTCATTATTTTGAAAGAGCAAGTGATATCTACCACTGCTAAGACTCCAGAGACAAAATCCAATAAATCTGTCTCTTTGGAGCTTGAAACATAGTTTGCCAACAATGACAATATCCAAAGCCAGAGAACACCTTCTCTCAATAGAGGGATGGAGTTTTCCAGGATCATCATGAATATGCATAACAGCCACGAAACAGGCAATACTGTTCTCTGCTTTAGTACACAGCACATGTGTACACTATGAGACTTACATGTCACAGTGTGCAGCAATTCACTCTAATGAATCAAGGCCATATGAATCAAGAAGTATTCCATGCTGTGACCTACAGTCTCCATATTGTACATCCAGCATTAAAAATGGAACACTGGAAGGACACATTGCAAAGCCCCATAATACATTTATTAATTTTTTTTAACTAACTGATGCCTTTGAAAACATCTGTAATCTCCTTTTGAGGTAACTCCTTCTCATAGTCAGGTTAAAATTACTTACATAAATCCACTTTAATATGTCATGACTTGAGATAATCCCACATTAAAAAAAAAGGAAATCAGTCACTAACTTGTTCTTAAAAATGTAGCAAATTTTGCAAACAAGGGACAAATTAAAAATATTTCTGATCAGCTTACAGTTTAGATTCAATCAATCAGAACACTGCTTTTCAGGAATAGTACTGTATGTTGTTACAATACTACCTTCTGCCAAATTCAGTCAGATTCTATCATCTATTCAGCCTCATTTTTCACATGGTTAAGAATAACAGAAACAGCAATGGATATAATATCACCAACTAAAAAAGGAGCATTTGAGATCTGATTGTTCTTTATTAGGTAAAAAGACTGTCAGGGGATAAAGAGCACTTAGAATAATGAAAGGGAACTGGACTACCAGCCTTAACAGAGATTCATCCCACAGAGTAAGAGAAAAGTGTTTTATTAGAGCTAATGTCTCATTCCAGCTCTGTATTTGTTGAACACTACCTATGGGTGCACAGAGCCCTAACCTGAATCCTTCTGTGTCCGACTGTTGTAACAGACAGCAAAATGCTACACAGGGCAAAGCAGAACATATGCCAGCAACTGTCCTCCTTTTTTCTAAATTCATCTGGTCAGGAACTCAAAGAGTTCCTGATCGGATCGGTAGCATCATCTCCAGGGGCACTGTGGAAGTTCCAAGGTAGACGAACACTAAACTATTATTTTTCTAATCCTAGCTGCAAGCGGTTCCAATCAGTGGGCTAAATTCCTTAGCCCGCTTTCATGCAGCATCTGTTACAAGGATTCTGAAAGCAGAATCATCACTGATGATAAAAGTATCACCCATAGTTCTTGTTCTTCCACCATGCATAACAGAGACTGGTCAGTCTTGGGACTATCTCCTAAAATGGTCTACTGCCAACTACCATAATGCTCTGAGGCCTGGTATTTGTTTTCTAGTAAGCCTGCGGAAGTCTGTCCTCCAGTTCCCTTCCATCCCCAATGTGCTTTCCATTACTCCACCTGGAACTCTTACAATAAAATGCAGGGATGAGAACAAATTCCATGTTTCAAGTCTGTTGTGTGTCATTCACAGGCCAATTTACTATCAAAGCTGGAGAGTCCAATAGCAAAGGCCTGAAGAGCACAGAGAGGATAATTGTAGTCCAGAGTGAACACATCTTCTGCTACACGACCAAACTGCATCACAATGTAGTCAGCTGGGGAGAAAAGAAAGTTACAGAGATGAACAATTTCACAATGAAGCAAATTAAAAAAAAACAACCACCACAAACAAAAAACTACACATCTGGCAGTCCCAAATATATTTGGTTGGTGTATCCATTCTTTTTCACCAGAGTGGTCTTGAAATCTGTTCTCTAGAGTGACTGTTATCCTGGAGATTACCTTTCTTCTCAGAACCAAAGCTCAAACCACTCTTTTGCTGGGCTGAAGGCACTGTATTAATCATTTTCCCTCCCTTCAGGAAGCTTGCATTTGCCCCCTCTTTTGCTGCAGCTATGGACAGCAGTCTCTGCACCCACCCCAGAAAAAGGGAGGCCTCATGTAATTTTCTTGACAGCTAAGTCCCCAGTAATCCTGAGCTGAATTCCTCCACCCAGTCTCCCTTCTCCAGGAAGGTTTCCTCCCAAACCTCATTAAATAAAAATTAGGTTCTCCCTGTTTGAATAAGACCCACACACTCTCCACCAGACTCTTACGGTCATTGTCATGGACGATCTGGAAGTTCTTCACCGAGGCCTGAGTGACTCTCCCATGGAAGTTCAAAACATAGGATTGAGTATCATCGTTCCAGACTGGAGCCTTGTTGTGCAACTCAATGAGGTTTTCAAAATTTTTGTTTTGCCATTTTGACAGGAGACTCTCACGTTCCTGTTCAGAAGAAATACATTTATCGGATTTAGAATGGCTCCGCTTTTGAGTGCTGCCTCTCTCATGTGTGTATACTCTGTCACTTGAAGGTCATTC